CAATTCCGAAAACCACTTTCCAGATGGTTTTTGCGGTCACTGGGAATGGATAATACCAGCTGGAAGGAGGTTTTCGGCGCCGAACACACCAGTTATGACCTCTTCGCCGTTGAAAACGTACCCTTTATGCTAATTTTGCGGCCTCCGGTATCTCGGGTCATCGGCGATCACAATAGAAGAGGAAGCAGAGGAAGTCAACAAGGCTGCTGAAGGTACAAGGATAAACCAGTAATTTTGGGTTGCTAGGCCTAAGATTTCCTTTTGTCCAATTTGGCCCTCAAACTTTATCTTTAGGCTAAGCCTTTACGTTAAATCACTATTCAATATCCTTATTGAGATTTAAAATCTTTAAACCTAGGTTTCTTGCTTTCTTAGGAGTGCTTTATTATGATTAATTGTTGAAATTTGTTTTTGGTATATTTTGTACTTACTTGTATTCTAAAAAAAAGGTTTAACTTTGAAATTAAATATTTTTATTAATGTGTTAGGTAATTAGATTATATATTGACATCAAGGAAAGTTTATGTAACTACTTATGTATATAAAATCCATAATATTTTAAATATATTGTTAAGATGGATTTTTTAAATATTCAAATATGTAATTCAATCGCTTAAGTTAATTTGATAATTAAAATATTACATTACTATTATGTTACAATCGTGTAAAGTCATGTAACCTTCTACAAAACATGGTTTATAAGTACTTAAAAGGCTCATGAAAAAATTACAAAAAAGAACTAAGTTAGGGCAAAATTGTGAAAAAAAGAAGAAAATATCAACTCTTTATGTACATGCAGTAAAGTATTTGCCTAGCGGGCCTTCAACTTTTAGGAGGAACTTGCTTGACCCACCTCCATTTGCGAGTTGTGTGGTTGTATATATTATTATTATTAAAAAAATTTAATTTATACGAGTTTAGGCCACACACTTTATAATTTAAAGTTTTATTTGAAGTTGTATATTTTTGTATAAAACAGTTTATTGATACATTTAAATGGTAAATTGGTTTAATAAATTTATATGACATGTCCCGTTAAGTTTAGTTAGTCTATAAGTTTAGCAACTTGTTTACAATTTTTTATAAATTTTATATAATTTTCATTATTTGTTAAAAAAATTTTGAATGTAAAAGAAATTTTACAATTAAGTGAAATTTTTTAAAAAATTGAGGGACCATATGGCAGGAAGAAAGGATGCAATCATTGACCTAAATGAATAAATTTGAAATTTAAGTATCAAAGTGTTCATAAATTAGAAAAAAAGAACACATATGACATTTTACCTCTGAAAAAATTGCAGAAAGATCCACAAACCTCGACACGTGTTGGGTGCCGACATCACCTTTGTCGGTCTCGATACAATGTGTTAAGAATGCTAGTACTTCGTGAAATTTGCTAGAGAAGTGTCGACACCTATACTGTGGTCTTGACACTCTTATCCCATTGTCCAGATCTTTCTTTACACGTCAATAGATTTAGGTGGGGTATCGCATATTAAATACATCTATCAAACATCTAATCATTTTTTAAATAATAAAATTAAGAAAGTAATATATTTGATTAAAAATTTTTAAAATGTGATAATTTTAATTAATTAAAAAATATTATTTTTTATTAAAATAAATAAAGTACCAGTAAATTTTTCATATACAATTACTTAATAAAGAAAATATCTACCCATTTAGAGCTAGGAATTCTAATTTAAATTTGGTTTAAACTCTTGAATTTAATGAGCCAAGATATTGTATTTAGTCAAACCCTAAATATCTAAAATAATAATTTGATTGAAAAACTTAAATCTTAATTTTTTTTTAAATTATCACTGATTTAAGTTGTTGGCATTGTTAAAAAAATCTACAAAAATAAATTAATAGGGTTGAAAATTTTACTTTTTTACAAGTTATGTACTTATTTTATAAGAAAAAAATAGTAGGCAGTAAAATCAATTCTTTCACAAAAATAAAAAATTTGTTGTGAATTTAGGGCCA